TTCACTATTTTGAAATGATGAAAGTTGCTACTTATTGCACTTTTCTGTATTTTCTGGATATCCTATTTTGATTTGAAAAAAGTTGGCTACTCCAGTTCAATTAACTCTAAAAGAATGGTCAAATGGACTCTTGGCAAGCAAAAAGTACCAATTTTTTTGGATAGATAGATGTACTTTTTAAGGTTTTTAAAATTTTCTGGGCATGTACTTTATCAACCCCTAAAAATAGTCTCATGTAACAAGCTTAATAGTCTTGCACCAGATGGCTATATACGCTACAACCTTTTTCACTATCTTAAATTTCAATTATTTTCCTTTTCTTGTCATTTAACATTTTTCACGAAAACAATTGGAATAATGCAAATCGGAGAATTCAAATAGAGAAAAGAAAATAAATACTTATTCACATAAAATGTTTTACACCAATTTAATTAATACATGACATGTGTATTCACAAATATAATCATAAGGAAAGGGAATTGGTCTTGAGGGGATCAATAAGAAACCTAAGTAGCAATTATATAGAGCCCCACAAAATGACTTGCTTATATCAATATAAAGTAGGCAAGCAGCCAATGATGCCTCATTTATTCGAATAATTGATGAAATAGGTTTTCCTATAGATACTGTTACTTTTTAGAGCCGCACAAATAATTTGAATTAGGGTTTGCTTAACAATATTGCTCATGATTAATTTTTTTATTTATTTTCTTTTTCAAAATTGCTTCTTGTTTATTGACCCCACAAAATAAATTCTTGAGTTTGTTAGAAAATCTTTCACCCAAAAGGGTTACTCGATGTAAAATATTTTACATCCAAGTAGATGGAGGCTAAGTGATAATTATCTAAAAAGGTAAAAAAAAAAAAAATTGAACACAACTAAAATGCATTAGAATACCATGGCCAACAATAACAAATCCAGTATAATCCCACAAGTAGGGTCTGGGAAGGGTAAATGTATGCAGACCTTACCACTATCTTCAAGAAGGCAGAGAGGTTATTTCCGGAAGACCCTCGGCTTCGGAAAAATAAAAGAAGGACATCAGCAAGCACACCAATTAAAAAATTAAAACTAAAATACAAAGATTCAAAACTAAAGCTAAGGCCAGGAGGAAAGCAACAACAACAAGTAGACACAGAAGTCAAGGATACAATACCATGGCGGAATAGCCAAAATATAGTACTATGGGGCCAGAACTTAAGAAAGATGTGGCTCATGATCCTTGTCCTGATGTTGATGTTTCATTTTAGGCTCATCTTATGAATTCATTTTTTCTATAGTGATTGAGATTGATGTTTTTCTTGGACATTATTAGATTGAGACTTCCATGAATGAGAATGAAGTTTTAGCTTGTGGGATTCCCTAAGGGAACGTATTACATTTTTTTTCAAATTAAATAAACGAAAAAGGACCCAAAATGTTCTTGAACTATTCGAAATAGCTTAAAAATATCCTCCATTTATTTTTGGTGCCAAAAATATCTCTGTCGTCTATGTTTTGGACCACAAATGCCCCTAAACCGTTAGTCTTGCCATAGAAGCTGACATGACAGTCCAACTAGGTTAGATTTGCTTACATGACCATCCACCTAAGCAATCTAGCATGACAAAACTATTTTTTCGGAAAAACTATTTTTCCGAATTTTTTTATTAAAATACAAAATCAACATTTATTTCGAAAAAAGTAAAAAATATTCAGAAAAATTATTTATTTCGGATTTTTTTTATTAAAATACAAAATCAACACTTATTCCGAAAATAGTAAAAAAATTCCGGAAAAATTATTCTTGATTGGCTTTATGATTTCATTAAAAAACTCAGTTGTACTCTTTTGCAAATTTATGATTAGTTTGATCTAAATTTTTAGATACTTATCAGTTATAGCTTCACAAAAGGCACACTTCTACTGTAAGTATCAATTGGTTCATCCGAAGTTCTTATAATTTTTGGAGTTTTTAAATTTTCCAAAATTCCGAAATTTAACTTTAAGTGAAATTTAAAATTTTTACGGTTGAACACGTATTCCGAAAAAGGTAAAAAAATTTCCGGAACAATATATTAAAGCACGCTCCAACATAATTTAAATTTCCGGAACAATATATTAAAGCACACACCAAAATAATTTATTTTGTATATTATATATAATATTTTAATAAATAAATAATTTTTCTGATTTTTTTTTACTATTTTCGGAATAAGTGTTTATTTTGTATTTTAATAAAAAAATTCCAAAATAAATAATTTTTTCGAATATTTTTTACTTTTTTGGGACTAAATGTTGATTTTGTATTTTAATAAAAAAAATTCAGAAAAATAATTTTTTCGAAAAAACAATTTTGTCATGTTGGATAACTTAGGTGGATGGCCATGTAAGCAAATCTAACCTAGTTGGACTGTCATGTTAGCTTCAATGGCAAGACAAACGGTTTAGGGGCATTTGTGGTCCAAAACATAGACAACAAGGATATTTTTGGCACCAAAAATAAACGGAGGATATTTTTGAGCTATTTCAAATAATTCAAGCACAATTTTGGCCCTTTTCCGTTAAATAAATCCAGAAAATATCACTATCTAAATATACCAAAGTGATTTCTCTTCCTATGGTCGAAACTTGGAAGAACAGCAAATTTCTCAAAATTAAGTAGCGTTAGCAAATTTGATACATCCAAAAAACTTTGTAAAATGAGTATCTAATCATTTTCAGTGGAGAAAAGTAGGATTGAACTTTTGGACACAGATTGTTACCGTTGATAATAGTAAAGAATTGAGTTGATAACAAGATTGAGACACTTTAAGTAAGTGTGATTGTTAATAACTCAGACTATCCTAAGTCCTAACTAAACTAGTTGGGACTCGTTTATTTAGCATTCCACGTGCTATGTTTCTGTAATGATTATCCAGTACGTAGTAGGAACTTCAAGTGGAATGAAATTTCTAAAGCCCATATGATTTGGTAATAACTATTAGGAATTTTTACCTCCAACACCTTATTTATTTTAAATAAATATCATTTAAAAAATTATATTCTATGGATACCTTTTAAGGTTTATAGCAAAATATTTAATTTTGGTTACTTCCTAGCCCTAAGCCACTAAATACGCCAATCAGTTACACTATTTTCTTTCTCTCTCTATTTTGATACATCTCATTCTCTTCCCCCATCCCATTAAAATTTCTGCTCTCCTCCTCCTTCTAACGCACAACGATAACAAACCCCTAACCCACACAAAACAAGCACAAACCATCATTCTTTTTCGCTAAGTATTTAGAGATTATTATAAGAGAGATATTGAGCAACACAGGTCAGAGCTAAAAGGAAAAGATGGTAATTACAAATTGAATCTGCAAAAAAAGATAACAGGGACCGGGACAAACGAGCTCGCCTCCACCATGATGGAAGGGATGAAGAAGATCGGAGCCAAAGATCATGTATTTTATGGTTGCCTGATTTAGGACTTTATCTCTAAGACTTGTGGAGGTACATAGATTTGAAGAAGTCACTTCCTCCAGGTTTGAGCGTGTAAGATCTTTGAAGATAGAAGGACTATTTGACTACAAGGCGGAAATTAGGGTTTGTTGTTGAGCAAAGATGACGGAGTTTTGGGCTGATCAACTTGATTTTCTGTTAATATATATATTTCAATGTATTTTCAACGTATCACGTGTATTTTCATGTATTTCATTGTATTCATTGTCTTTTTTTTCATCGTAATTCAATGTATCTCGTTGTATTCCGTGTATTTCATTGTGTTCACTGTCTTTTTTTTCATTGTATTTCAATGTATCCCCTTGTATTCTATGTATTCATATGCTTTTTTCAATTAATATAATTTATGTATTCAGATGTATTATATAATTTCTCTGAAGATTGCTATGTTTTTTGGGTTTTTTTCCAGTTGAGAATCTTTTTTATAACCGGAAATACAAATTTTGTGTATTATAATTGAGTTTGTTGAGTTATATTAGTAGTCTATTATGTTAATTGATACACTTTCCATTTAAAAATAGTGTAATCCCCTGTTTCACGCCGTGAATACAGTCGAATACAACTGAATACGGTAATCTGTCCAGCTGTAATCCCATGTTTCACGCCATGAATACAAGCGAATACACTCGAATACAACAACTGATTAGCTGGACTTCCCTGATTCACGCCTATTTTTGCTACTGTATTCATGATTACAATAGCTTAAATACATCAAATACATCATATAACCACAGAAAATGTATCTATAATCCGTAATATAGCAAATGGTATCTATAGATGACTAATTACTACTAAAAGATAGTGCTTTATAAAAACTCCTCCAAATATTAGACCAAACGTTTATTCTACAAACTAAAGATCATCCAGGGTCATAAGCCCATATGATTTAACAAAGGGAACGTTTGCAATATATCAGGGAAAATGACACTATATAGCCGCTTTAAAAAATAATAGTCGAATATATATTTTTCATATAATTTTTGTATTCGAAAAAAAAAATATATANCGACGGTAAATAATTTCCGGTGCGGGCTAAAAGTGATAATATCCTAATATATTAGGACGTGATGATACCCCGTCCAAAACCCAGAATTTTCAATTTACTATCAGTTCAAATTTGTTTTTTACGAAATGATAAAACGGAGATGCAAACTCGACTCTCAATCTTAGCTATCTTTGTAATTGGACAAAAAAAAAAAAAAAGCCCCAAGGAGAGCAAATCTGAATTGTATATCTCATCTTGCAAAATTGGACCGTCAAGTTTTTCATCCTCCACTTGCTTATTGAAAGAATTGCAGTGTCTTTGAGCGAGATACGTTTTTTTATTGCAAAAGGTAATCTCTTAAACTATAAATGTATAATATATACACAATTCATGTATAATATATGCATAACTATGTATAATCTATATATATCGGCTAGAAAAAGTAAACAGTGAATCTAAAGGGCTATTTGTGTAACAATCCCGGAGGATTTTCACATTAGGGACACATGGATGTAGCAACACTAATAGTGGAGAAACTAATTTCTCTATAGCTATTCAGCAATAGTAATACTTTTTTTAGTTGAATTTGAAAGGAAGTGTTCAGCTTCCTTTAACAGGAATGTCCGCTTCATTCTTTTAGCAAGTAGAAAAAAATAGACCAAGTAGCAATTACAATCGACAAACTCAAAAACGTTCCCTTGTTCTACCATCAACAATTTTTCAGCAAAACTGAAGGCACATAACTCACTTGAGGCATGATCAACTACAGGCATTGTGTACTTGCTAGTGATATCGTAAATTAACTTTTTCTTCAAGGCTCTCAAATATAACTAGTACATTTCATCAAGATTAGCTGTACCGAGGCATAAATAGGAAGAGTAGCTGCACCTTTGAAGTAACAAAAGAAGTCGGCTCTCCCCAATGCCTCTACATCTTGAATGAGAGGGCCCATGTTCGTGCATACCAACGAGCATCTGTGGTTAGAAGCTGATATGCGACGAGGAACCCAAGCAAACAAATTTGCTACAGCATGCAAACCTGTTATTTCACTTGTTCTCTTGCTCGCCAGGACGCCGATATGGCAAGTATCTGTGGTCTTTTGCAGCATTCTTGCGCCTTTTCTTCTCGATATATGCTTCCAGTTTGCCTGATGCTTTGAGTTCCTTGTATTTCTCAACAAGTTTGCGCTGCCTAATTTCAGATTTTTTGAGGTAATAAGGTTGTTTCCCTTGCTTAGCAGCTTCTCTCTCTTTCTTCTTATGCTCTGCCAAAATCTCTCTCTCAGTGTGCTTCAATCCTGCCGATTTCAATTGCTTGTCAATCCAACCAATGCGATTTTTCAGTTCATTTATCTCTTCTGGATCATTTGATTTCCTCATCTGTTTCTTCAGATCCTCTTTTTCTGCTGGAAGATCATCCTCGTAAAGAAAATTGTATCTCTTTTTGAATCCATCTTCGTCAAGCTGGCCACATAAAGACTCAAAGCGAGGGTCACGAGTAACCTCTTTAGGGACTTGGATAATTTCCCTAAATCTGCTCACTGGCTTCTTGCTACTCATCTCCACTGGCCTGTTCTTGTTTGCTCGGCCACTTTTTCCTTCAGAATTGAACTTCCTATACATTGTATCCGACCCATCAGACCGTGCTCTCTGCAATTCCTCAAAGGTCACATCAGCAAGCTCCTCCTCTAACTCCTTCTCCTCCTCATCTTCAGACGAAGATTCATGTTCATCAGAGTCTTCAAATTTGATTTTACTCGAACTTGCAACAGCTGGCTTGTCTTTTCTCATCTCAACAGTTTGATTCCGCTAGAGAAAAACAACTTCAGAACTTCACCGCACGGAGATGGAGAAGTTAGAGGAGTAAAGAAGAACCTCAACAACAGTAGCCTATAACACAAACCACTAATTAAAACAAAAGAATACATATTCTGTCCAGTATATAGAATAAGCCAATGCTAATTCCAGAAAACATGACTGAAATGCAAGTAAACACTTAAATCTAAGTCAGTTAATTTTTTCTTTGATGACAATGGTGTTTGGTCCAGCTTGCAGCACCTTCAGATATAATGCATTCAGCTGAACCAAGTTTTTCTGACAACATGTGTGTGTGTGTGTGCGTGAAAAGCCACTAAAATTTCAACAAATATTAAATTATCAACCCATACTTTCAAAAATACAATGTGACGGTGCTAAGAACTTTAAAAGTAAAACTTATCAAGCTTAAATTCTCGATCCGCCTCTGAGCACCTAGCTCGACTAATACACCAAGCAGCATACTAAACCTCCCACAAGCATAAGTGCCAAGTCTAGACCTATCCACAGAGTGCTGTAAGTAATTAGGAAGTGAGCTCTCAAAGCTCCATGTTATTTATTACTCCTACACCTCAACTACTCAACCATCCCCTCGGGGACTTTTAAAGTCAATTAATTCAACAGCTAGGATTCAATTTAAAAAGGAGAAAAGCAAGATTTTCAAAAGAAAAATTGAAAAGCCAACACAAAATGAAATGCCACTCTGAAACCAAGACAAGTTTTTCGTATCATAGTAATGGCAGTCACATTTTGCTAGTTCAGCTAATGCAAATAATGCTTAAAGAAAAAGGCAATGAATTTGACAAATTTCTCACACTTTGTACGATTGCGGTATTCAAACCTTTAACAGAAGATGCATACATATAATGAAACTGGGTAAGCTTTCATAAGACATCAATTCATACAAAATAAAATCAACAAAAAGCACAGTTACATCAATCCAATCGTCTAATATGAGAAAAACAAAAGAGGAATGCGAATCACTCACCTTTGGTAAGAGTGGCGTGTATAGAGACCCGAGTTAAAGAGATAAAGCTTCAAGCGACCGAGGGAGACGTTATTAGACAAAAACCCTAGCTACGGGGTAGGTTAATTTGCCCCAAATTATAGTACTATACTTGGGGTCTGGCCGTCTGGGTAACAACACAAAAGTAAATTAAAACTCAATTTAATTTTGTCTACTAGGTCTATCTAGCTGTACAAAAGTAAACATAACATAGACCACCTACAACCATTTTTTTTTTTTTTTTTAATATATTACCGGACAAACAAACTCCAATTTACACAAAAAGAGCATACAAACTCTTATTGTTATTAGCTTTTCTACAAAAGAAAAAAGATTGTCTTACTTAAGTCCAAGTATTCAGTGGATGTACAGTTAAAATTCAAGTTATGGATTTTTATGTTTATGCTACTGAACCAATTCTTTTTCTCATGTAAATCGATTAAATCGACCTTATTATGTAATTTTGTGACATCTGTCCTTTTTTCCTCTAAACTTTTTAATTAAAATGACTTCTTTGGATCACAAATGGTAAATGGCATATATTATTAACTTGTGTTAGTGACTTTTTGCCTCTATCTTGAACTATTTTCCGGAGGGTTAAGTACTTTTAATTGAGGTAATAATCCATCATGATTAAAAATAACAATTGATCAAGTCGTAATATTAGAAGTAAATTTCCCCCACATACAGGTACGGTCAACTTTGGTGGAAGCAAACGGCTTTTATATAGAAGCAATCAGTCCTTGTTCAAATGGGACGAAGTCCAGCAGTAGCCATTTTTAAGCCTGCTAATTAAATATATCCACAATTAGGGGTGATAAACGGGCAAGTCGGATCAGATATGGGACGGGTCGAAACGTGTAATGAAAAAACGGATAAATTATCCGGCCCGACCGATATTTAATATGGATAAAAAATAGGTTAACCGACTGCCATATTATCCATGGCTTCATGAGTATGACCACTTTTGGGAGAATTCCTAATCTCCCAAACTTGAGGAACCCCTAATTTGAGGTGTTACAAATGTAAAAGTTAAACCCATTAGTTATCCATTTTCTAAATGGATACTATGGTTCTTATCCATATTTGATCCGTTTTTAAAAAGCTCATTATCCAACCCATTTTTTCGTGGATAATATGAGTGGTTAGCTATTTTCTTTAACCATTTTGCCACCCCTATCCACAATTTACAATGTATTTAAAGATTAGACAATTCAATCAAACTTCAGGACTAAGAGTCCGTTTGGATTGACTTATTTTAAGTGCTTTTAAGCCAAAGCCATTTGTAGTGTTTGGATAAAGTAAAAAAGTGCTTTTAAGCTAAAATGACAAAAATAAGCCAAAAGTCAAAAGCTAGAATTCCTAACTTAGAATTCCTAATTTAAAAGTCACTTAAAACAAGCTCATCCAAACGGGCTCTAAGTATCCTGGATTTTTGTATGCTAAATTTTTGAGCTGCTAATTTAAAATTCAGGACGAATATCATGTTTAGCAAAGCTGAAAAAATTAGCTTATTTTGATAAGTGCTTTTCGAAAAAGCATTTTTGGAGAAAAACAGTTTGTGTTTGGCTAATAAATTTGAAAAGCACTTTTGAACAATAATTTGTGTTTAGCCAAGCTTTTCAAAAAGTGCTTTTAAGTGTTAAATTACAAATAAGGACATGAAAAGATTTGCTTAATAGTTAATATTATATAAGTAGATAAATAATTACAAATATTTATTATTAAAGATAATAATTAAGTTTTTTATTTTACTTAAGTAAAATATAAAAATAAAATTTAAAAGTACTTTAATCTTTCAAGATAATTTAAATATATCAAAAAATCATCAATAAATATGAAAGTTCATCTCAAAAGTCATTTTATATTACTTAATAATTTAAACTAAGTAAGGTTATTTTGGTATATATAATATTTTGCAAAGGATATTTTTGGTAGGTAAAAAAGTCAAAACTCCTTCTGCTTTCGGAGAGAAGCTACTTTTTCTGTTTCATCAAAACTGCTTCTGCTTCTAGCCAGAAGTACTTTCTTCCCCAAAAAAAGCTTGGTCAAACACATCAAATTGAGGGAAAACACTTTTTTGAAAGAAAAAAAAACACGTTTGGCATGGGGAGAAGCTTGGTCAAACATGCTCTAAGTGTCTGAATTTCTAAACTGCTAATTTAAAATTAAGGACATAGGATTTGACTTTCTGGACACCATTCTCGAACTTTAGGATACGATGTCCTAAAATTTAAGCGAATAAGCTAATCTTTAAATACATTGTAAATAGTAGATATATTTTAAACAACATGCTTAAAATGGCTACCTGGTATCATTTCCATATTTAAAAGGATTCTATCTTGTCTGACCCAAATACAACACTGTCCGATTTGATTATTGCTCCAAGTCAATTTGATGTCATTGAAAGCCCAATCAAATAATCCAAACGATCAGGGAGCTCCGAAAGACAGATGGGATGAGCTACAATTACACACTAACAATGTGAATAAATTTTTTTGCTATCAGCGTAAAATGCGCAGTCCATGACAAATGAGAAGAGAAGTACAGAACTAGCGGAGTTCTCTGTTTACATATAAATACCAAAGATTTAACAGTGTCTGCTGCTATTCAGTGCCTCCATCCCTTTGAATAGCCATCCTCCATATAGGGCTCAAGAAAACCTATAAACTGCATATCCAAAGGAAATGTCTTGGTCTCACCAGCTAATTTTTGAAATAAGCAAATCTTACTTTTCACTGACAAGTAATATAATGTCTTAGTAGCATTTGTTTTATGTTAGACTTATGCGATATATAAACCAATATAGGAACTGTGTACGGGTGTATGCACCTTAATTCCATCTTTGGACCACCGTGCACCATATCCATTAGCAACTCTTATCTCAAAAACAACCCCATGTGGTGGAACAATATGCACATTTATCCAGCAGCAATGAGTTATTAAATCGCTGATAACATCCAGGGCGACCCTATTTTTATTGGAATCTGGGAAAGAAAAAGTTGAGATAGTAGCTTCTTAAGAGGACAAAATAATCGCACAAAGAGGATTCTTGCTAGCAATATATGATTTTATTATATTTCCTTCTCCACAACAGAGAGGTACAACATCTTGTAGAGCGTAAGATTAGTCCACCGGAAGGCAAAAAAGTCGGCAGAAATAAAGAGTCCAGCTTAATGCACCCATGTTTAGCACATTATTGGTTTGTCTCATGGGATAGGTGATGCCAGGAATTGCCTTCTAGAAGCAGAATGATACCCGCAAACGAAAATTAGGAAGAAAAATGACAAGCATAGCTCAAGCATTAGAATCTCACATGCAACTCAAGAATGTTTACATTGTATGGCCCTGGAATGAGGAACTAACCACTTCCAGAAAAACTACCCCAGTAGCTGTCGCTGCTCCTGTTTACATGCTTTGACATCGCCCTAGCTCCATCGGTTAATGTAGAACCTTTAGCCTGTTGCAAAGACAAAATACCTAAAGAGTTACTTACATATGAAATATGAGCAAATCTCTTTGGAGTGCTCCTGCTAACACTAGACGTGCATTTGTCTAGCATTCAGTAATGTCAGTAAATCCATTGGCATACCACAATAAAATAACCTGGGAAGAGATGGTAATAACTAAGATATCTAGTTACCTCTACAAGCTTTGGATACGGAACAAATGTGTGTTTAGCTTCATTAACTGCTTTTCGTATTTTCTTCCTGTCCTATTTTTAATAGGTCAATGTTTTATCCACCATCCCTCAACCTACCCCCTCCCACATAAAATATTGGTAACAAAAAATGGAGAACAAAAAATGAAGGCTTCTCAATGACTGGGAAGTCGCTAGAGTTAGTGAGATTTTCAAAATGCTAGAAGGTTTTGCAGGATTAAGGGAGGTGGAGGACTCTCTTACATGGAAAGGAGGCAGTGGTTCTAAATTTAAGTCAAGGCAGCATACAACTATCTATCATCTAGAGGACATCCCAACACACCTTGGCCTTGGAAAAAGATTTGGAAGACCAAAGCACCATTCAAAGTTATTTGCTTTTCATGGTTAGTGATAAGAAAAGCCTGCCTCACTCTAGAAATTCCCCAAAGAAGAGATATTCAGACCAGCTCTACATGCTTTCCATGTCAACAGGAAGATGAAACCAATGAGCATCTTTTCTTACATTGTGTTATTACTAGACAACTTTGGCAGCTCTTTATATGACTAGCTGGTATTGTTTGGGTGATGCCCAAGGACACTATTGGCCTGATATGCAGCTGGAACAGTATTAGGGGAAGAACCTGTCACAAGGAATAGTGGAAGCTGTTCCAGCTTGCATATGGTGGACAGTTTGAAAGGAGAGGAATGCAAGATGTTTTGAAGGCAAGAGCAGTTCAACACAGAAAATCAAGAGTTCTTACATTTCTATTTTTCATTTTTGGTGTAGTGATGTAGAATCACTACTAGACCTTTTTGATTCTCTGTAAGATTTTCAGGTGTTGTACTTGTAAATATTAGATACCAGCCCTGTTTCTTGGGTTCTCATGAATATAATTGTTACCTTTGTCCAAAAAAAGGTAGAGCAAACTGATATATATTTAAACATAGGATCCGCATTAGCAAAGATTCTCAAACTATTTCAGTATAGCGAGTTCAACTCATGTCCTATTTCAGTATAACGAGTTCAACTCACGTCACCTGATTCTATCTAGTGGACCTTCGAAATTCTGACTAACTTGTGGTGCCTTACTGCCAACGAAATGGCAAGCAGAAGATTTTGCTTCTGGTAACCAAGAAAATGCAGCAAAGAGGTTAATGGAGCTTCAGAAGCAATTTAATACAACTTTCTCTTCTTTCTCATCTTAATGTCATCTCAATTTACTTCTACTGATAAAATGCCATCTCAATTCACCCTTTACTTTTCAACTATTATAATAACAATAAAAACAACTAATTTTCAAGGAAGCAAAAGTTCGCTATGCGCAGGGAAGAATTCACACGGAGCAAAACCAACAAGATAGCCATCAGGTCATATCATACATTTGGATTATGTGGCAACAAAAATGATGAGATAAGAGTTGATGCTGGCGGTGGAAGTGCCTCAGAAACCGTTCCAACTGTACATACAAATCCTAAAAGCTTCTGAACACCTGCATAGCTCAGTTCCTGAATGAAATTAGAGACTCGAATCAGGAATTAACAAACATCTCAGCTATCTTCATATGTAGCTGAAACAAATATATAAAACTTTGTAGTCTTAACACAGATGTTAAAAATTGGATTTGATCTCAAAGCAACTACACCAAGAGCAAACTGACGCACTATTATAAGCACAAACAGTTGTCGGACGACAAGCGTGTTACCAATAATAGAAGTTAAAATTTGTGTGTGATCTCAAAACAGACACACCTGGGAAAACATGCACTATCAAAGCACATACAGTTGTGGGACAAGCAAGTTACTCAGAATGAGAAGGAGGAGGATGCAGATGTACAAAATATAAAGAATTGTTAAGAGAATCTGACATATTCTTGTTCGATGATTTGATGCAACCTCTCAGAAACATGTAAACAGTCGGGTATACAAGTGGTTTACAACACTCATAGAAGCAGCGTCAAACATTGAAGTAGTAAGAAATTATATTGTTATGTGAATTAAGTGAACACTGGACAGTATATATCCAAATCCGGTTTCTGAATCTATTTATCTTGTGAAAACGACCAGCCCCCATTACAAAAATAGTTGGCTTATGCATCACTCTCCTGGACTACAAAATATGTTACTACATATTTGAGGTGGTCTTTAGAGAGAAGGGAAGGTCAGGAAAATATTAAGTCATAGCTTTCCCTCAGGGAAGGTCACTCATTTCAGGGACCAGCATAGAAAGATCCTTATACAGATAGAACAAGTTATTGACAAAAATAGATCAAAAATAATTTCTAACTTTCAGGAGAACACAACTGCTACGGTAGCACCTATGTAGCGCGGACTCTCCAAAATGTTGCCGTACCAGTGTCGGATTCTCCAAAAATACACTACTTTTGGAGTATCCGCCAAGCACCCGGCAACATTTTCGGAGAGTCCGAGCAACATAGGGTAGCACTACGTCATTTTCACATGATCTAATTATTGAATCTCCAATGTCAAGATAAGTCGAGCTGAAAGCATACTCACAGAGAGCATGGTGCCCAGACAAATGGAAGGCTGAGAAACTGGCTTCTTAACACAGATAGCGAGAACACCATTTGACCTTTCTTTCTCTTCTGGGTAAAATTTCCTGTAAACTTGGACACCTGAAATTTGCATGTTTAAGAGATAGCTTTCATACAAAGGAACATCCATCATAAAGAGTTCTGAACTGATTATCCATTTTACCAATTGCAAGCATTGAAAAGTTAGCTATTACTAGAAAGCAATAAAGTCCAGTATATAATTAGCCTCACCATCTCTCACTATATATAGATGGATCAAAGATAAACAATGATCTGGCAGAAGATACTACTCTTAGTTTCGAAGACAGATATTTGGTAAGCATATAACCGTACAATGTCTTTAATTATCTTCCAAACATATTACAAGTCCCTAAGAACATGCAAGAAATGGAGTGAGAAGTAATATTCCCACTACAATAAAGCAAGGGATTTCAACCTTCTTCAACAGTATCCACTCCAGGAAGAAGTTCTTGAAGACTCTCCGCTTCTAGCATCTCACGAAATGAATGATAATGATGGACATCCTGCAAATGGGTATTTTATTCAGTTGACTATAATATATAAAAAGAAAATAAATGTAGATGATGAATGTACCTGAACTTGAAGAAGTAAACATTTGTTGAAGAGGATGAAAGCTCCTGGTTCAATTCTAACATCCAAAAAAAGACATCATCTGAGAGAGGAAAGAAGGCAAGAGAAGAAAACTTTTTTTTAGAACGTCAATGTATAAAATATGCTTCCTGACATTCAAAGCAATGCTTCTCTTAGGATGAAAGGATATTTCTTGAAGTTGAATCGTGGGGGTTCTAGTGTCAAATCATTTGAAGAAAAACCAGGATTAACTTTTTGGCAAGGTACTAAATGTGGTTTTATTATGAAATGAATATCGGAAGGTTAACGGGAGGAAAAATGAAAGAAATAGTACAAGCAAACATGTTAAACAAAAATTACCAACAAATGAGGTCTTCATGATCTAAAACATTACAGATGGAAATTCTTCCTTTAATGACAACTTTGATTAGGGTCAGTATAATACAACCATACAAGACTCCTTCGGTATGCTCTTCAGAGCATCAAATTTCATATGACAGGGAAAAACAAGAGTTAACCAAAGACAGTTTTGTTGACCGCAATGTATGCTAAGAATAGTATTTCGGCACATGATTTGATTGATCGGTAACCTATATTGGCATACGATTTAACTGATTGGCAACCTAAGCACAACACATTTACCAAGTATACGGCAGAAGCGAGTCATAATGAAGTCATACTTATTATAATGTCCAACAGCACATCTTCCTTCAATTGTTTTCTGTCCATCTGCACAAACACTACGACTGCTAAGGGAAAAATGCATTAAAAGTAAAGGAAATCTAAATCTATGACAAATTGAAAACTAAGTTTGCTAGCAAAAGCAGTATATACAGATATTTTATACTTCTAAGCAGGGAGAAGTAAGGTTCCTGAACATGGAGTTCAAAGTCCACAGATTTTAGCACCTGTAGTTAGCAACATCCAATATACATTAACTTCAGGATTATGTATAAGAAACTGAAACAAAGAAGAAGAAACTCCATTACATGCTTAACTTACATTTAGCAAATGAGAACCTTTTGCCCTTATCACACCAGTCCACTCTTCTTCCTTTTGCTTCAATGAACTGGACTCATGCATTACTGCAAGTTTGTATTCTGTCCTTGGCAAGGCTTCAGAAGATATAGCCTGATATAAGGATGCTGCAAGGTGCTTGTATAAAGGATATGATGGAACTCCTTCAGAAAGGTCTGTCACATACAAGCAGAACAAGAAAATGAATTATCAACCTGATGTAGTGCTAAGTATCCAATATCTGGGCCATACAGTACAAACGAGAACTTTATATTCTTTAAGAAGAGGAGGTTGACAATTCTCATTTCAGAGAAGGGGGCAACATCCTTAGCCTTTCTTCCTACACGGAAGCAAAGATCCATATAGACAATACCAACTTCAACTGTAGTTGGGATTACGACTAGTTATCAGTGTTAGGGATGTGAGAACCCCTAAATTGCCTCTAAAGGCAAATTATTCAGTATTGGACTTAAGCCTCTCGACCCTCAAGGTAGGGTAAAGTCTGTGTGCACACTACACTCTCCAAACCCCACTTGTGGGATAATATCATTATACTGGATTTGTTGGATGAAAGTTGACTTAACCTGCGAACGTAGGAGACTCTTTATGCTAGTATCAAAATCTCAAAACGATGTACAGTCAACTGCTAAAGTTAAGGCACCATTAGCCTAAAAAGTAGGGGGGTAATTTTTTTGCTTTATCTTCCACACATAGTAAGCGATAGAGTGGGGTCAATGAGGTGATTAATTCAGCTGCAAAAGTCTCAGCTATGAAATTATTTTAGTGGTAAGTATCATGCCCTTGTTTTAATAGTATACATACATAAACAAATAGTTGGAACCACAAAAAAGAGTAACAGATGAGAGTGATAGAGCTCAAGAATCCTTAAAACAAGAGTTACCAGTGGAATTGGGAAAGAGATTGGAAGGATCGTCTTGTAAGAGGGCGGAGCAGTAATCTTTGGAGAGAGCTATGTCTATTTCAAAAGTGCCGTTTACGGAGGAAGAAAGTGTGAACCTCAGCAGCTCTTCTATGCAATCTTTCAGTTGCAGTGACACTCCTAATCCCGGTGATGCTGCCTGAGTTTCCATCTTTATCGTCTACAATCTGAATTGTATCAACCCCGTGAGTTCATGTAGTAGTAGTAGTAATTTTTACTGGGGCATAGCTTTTATATTAATGAAAGCGTCGGAACGAAATGGAACGAGCTTAAAATACAACACAATAGATAAAAAAAGGTTGAGATATACTACTAATTAACCCTAATTAGTTCAAGATTATCAGCTCGTTTGGATTTTTGTTGCATGTCCTTTGATAATGTATCCTATTGTATTCTACTGTACTGCATTGTATTGTATAAACATGCAATATTACAAAGAAAAAATAAAATACATAGTAGAATTAATATATAAAAAAGTAAAATAAAATATAATTATTTAATAATAAAGTCAAGATGAGAGAAAAAAGTAAGTAAACCACGCTACCACATCAAATTTGTCGTTTTATAAAGTGACACTTTTTGTCATTACGTAACAATGCATTTAACGATACGATACAATAAAATATAAGTAACAATCAAAATAAATATTGTATTTAAAGCAACAATACGAGGTAAACAAGCTCCAACCAAGCTGTAAGTGGTACTGGTTGTTGGGCCCTCTAACACGATTTTTGGTATCATTGAAAAAAAATTCGGCTGCAATATTAATATGTTGAATGAGGAGGCTTTACAATTATGTGCAAAAAGTAAAGAGTGAGGGTATATGTTGCGGAAGCCAAATGTATATAGTGTGAATAAGTCACAACTACTATACCAAAAATTATGACAGCCACCAAATAATAAATAAGACAATAAAACAACAATAAAGTGAACACCAGAATTTACGAGGTTCGGCTAATTTTGCCTACTCCTCGGACACAACCAAATATTTTATTCCACTCCAAAAATACAAGTGAAATAATACTAAAGAGAGAAGATACAAATGCCTTAAACAGATGAGAAGGCAAATGAGAGGTGTGTTTCAATCCTAAACATTAGGCCTTCTTTTATAGGGGAAAAATCCCCCCCAAACTTAACTCCCAACCAATGTGGGACTTTGGCATTTTGCCAAACTTCGACAGTATAAACATTCAGTAACCAAAATGCTTTACTACAATTGACAATCCTTGAACATCTAGTTCCTGAAAAAGATTGAATAAATACATTTCTTCCTTCTTTGAATTTCTTACATGCCATTGTGGGGTTTGTCCCCGTAGCTGGCTTCTTTTAACTTTCTTAAAACAATTCCCAATTTGTTGGTAATGTTTTCCCATGCAGAGAGATCCATTTAATCTTCTGTACTCTTCCAAAACCCCTACGATCTTTTCAATCTGTACAATACTGTAAACTAATACTGTGCCTAATCAGCTGCTATTTCCCTGACTGAACTTTGATTTTGGAGTCAGTCTTGGCTTCTTTAACCGTGCCTAATTCTAGCATAACTACTGCTGCAGAAAAATGAGGCTTAATAGAACTATCAATGTTGTGATGATCCTTTTCATGGTGTGTCTCGAATGTCCATACGAGGATTAACACGACCATTACTACTGATAGGAAAACAAGTCCTGCCCATGTCATATGCGCGTTTTTCTTTAATGGTTTGCAGTGTTTTTCAAGGATATCTGAAAATGAACTGTACACTGTGTTACATTCTGCTAGGCTTTCAATTCCAGGGTAGACATCCAGTATCTTTTTGAGAGCAGTTATGTATGACTCAATGTTGTTGAATATCCTATATGGGATCATGACTCCTCCCTTGCAGCTTGGATCAGTGCAAGTCAACATCTTGATTATCTTTATAAAAGAAGAGAGAATTCCATTAAATTAAAGGTAACGAAAAACTAACTACTACTAACTACTAAAACTTTGTGAAAATAAAAATGTAAATCATAGGTGTTTGAGCTATACCCCAGGGAGCTCTCCTATCCTGATTGCGCTAGATGGACAGTTCTGATCTGGCTCGTAGTTATAGTCTGGTGGACCGGAGAATGGATTGCATATCTGTGCAACATTTCCATAATTGGTAGATAGCTCACGATTTACCTGCAAATTTCCAAAAATTCCAAAATTTTCAAGACTAGTAAATAAAATACTTTATTTCAGGTTTAAATTTCAGGTTTACCTTGTTCACTACTCGATGAATCCCTTCACTGGCAGTATATATGATTGATTGTGCTGAGAGCAATTCATCACAGGGGAGGATTGAACTCAAGCTATTATTATAGGGATTTATCCGGAAACTTTCTAGAGCTGTGCATGCATCTCCAGCAAAGCTGCAATAAATACAACTTGATCATGAGTACGCCGAGGCAATATAATTTTGAGATGAAACAGAAAACTTGAGTAAGTTATCGGAAATCGTTTTCGTACTTGTCTAGGAAGAAATAAATCCCGAAAAATAACCAACAGAGACTTGTAAAGATCCAACATACTGCGATTAGCCTGCATATATCAGAATATATTGTTTCAGAATTTTGCAACTGTTGGAACATGGCCAAGAAGTTGGTAGTGTTAGGAGGCTAAGATTTGCACCATTGACATGATATACTTACAGGTGAAAATTTCTTCTAAATTTGAGGATTCCAAATACTGCAATGAAAACAGATTTCAGCTTTAGTCAGTATTAGATATTAGATATTTTATCTTAGGCTGCTAGTGGTTCCTGTTGTGTCTATATTACTTCATTGTGTCTGTAGTATTGTGCCATTGTTACTGCTTATTGTTATTGCTTTTCTTTCTATTTTCTGGTTATTACGTTGCTAGTATTATCTTTCTGGCTTCCGTTGCTGTTACTGCTCCACTATCTCTTTTCATCTTCTTGAGCCAAGGGTCTATCGAAACAACCTCTCTACTGTTAGTACGTTCAGAATGAGTGTGATCTTGTCATCCTCCGGAGTAGGGGTAAGGTCTGCGTACACACTACCCTCCTCATACCCCACTTATGGGATTTTACCGGGTTGTTATTGTTTTTGTTGTAGATATTTAATGATAGCCCTACAAAAATTACTAACTATTTTTGGATATTAGTCTCCTTTCTTCCTCTTCGCATACTAGACTAGAGTAATGGCAAAATTTTGAAACTTTCTTTTTCTTTCCTTTACTTTCACTAGCTCCCAAACAAGGGGGTGTGTTGTACTTCAATTTTAGGTTCTGATTTATAGATTCTTTTGAAATAGTATGGAATGAGGATATAACATGGAACAATGGAATTCAAGTTGGACTTAGTACACTCACCTGTTAGGGAAATTGCAGCAGCCAAGTTGAGTGAAATAGTCAGTGTAGTTACTATGTACCTGCCAACAAAAAGTAGTGTGCATGTCAGTCTTTGTACGGCCTGGAAAGCATAGGCGAATCGATGACAAGTTCTATGCATTCAACTAAATACATTGCTTTTGACTCGAACTATGCATGCATATGCAGAACAAAGTAAAACATATACATATAAGAAGATCGCACTCATTCTGAATGTACTAACAGTAGATACTGAATCCATCTTACTGAAAGGGACCTATCTAGAACATAAGACGAAGGGGGAGGAGGAAGACTTACAGTATCTCGAGGCTTTTCTCGACTAAACGCCTATTTTTCTTGGCTCCCCGATGTATATCAGCAGCCTGTCTGTCAAGACTTTGTGAAGTGGGAATGAGGAAGTTAGCAGCCTCATCACCTATATCAGTATCTTCTAAGTCATTATTCATATCTCTCAAGGCTTCAGTACTAGTATATATAGTCTCTGATGCCCCATCTGCTGTATCAATGATAATGTTCACAACTCTATCTGTTCTTGAACGTAGGTACGCATTCCCTCCTAGTACCAGGCCTGTTGCAGTTCTGCAATTACAGAGACTTTATCTCCTCAGTTGTTCTAACCTTTCAGAGTGAATGAAACTACTTCATTGGAGGATGCATTATATAAAAAGGGCATCCAAGTGCACAAAGCATCCCGCATTCAAGCAGGGTCCGAGGAACGGCTGCACCCCAAGGGAGTGTGATATAGACAGCCTACCCTAATGCAAGGCATTAGTGGCTGATTCCACAGCTCGAACCCGTGACCTATAGGTCACATGGAGACAACTTTACCGTTGCTCCAAAACATATCGCATTCAAGCAGGGTTCGAGGAACGGCCGCACCCCAAGGGGCGTGATGTAGACAGCCTACCCTAATGCGAAGCATTAGTGGCTGCTTCCACTGCTCGAACCCGTGACCTATAGGTCACATGGAGACAATTTTACCGTTGCTCCAAGGCTCCCCTTCAGAGGATGCATTATATGCAGACATAAAAACCAGAGGTTAAATGAACTTAATGTTTATTGCGGTAAAGTCATAAAACTAGATAAGAGAGAACAAAGTGATGCTTACATTGCTAAAATTGTCAAGAAAACAGCTGAGAAAATAAGCCAGAGATAATAGTGTTGATACTGACAAGTTGATCTCTTCTTAAGCTTCAGGTTCTTCCTTTTGCCGCAGTAGGTAGAGGTTAGAAGATATAGTCCATATCCTAAGCCACAGGAGAGCCACACTACTGCAATGGCATAGCCATATATACCTGTAAAGATGGTGGACTGCACAACAAGTTAAAATTTAGTGCTTGAAAATATTTTGAGTCATACGTGAAGCATAGTTGCTATAACTTGCATATATTGGCAAAAGATTATATGTTTTTTTTTTTAAATTTAAAAGCAGGTTATGGAGTACTTATTATGACTATAGTTAAAAATTGGACAAAAAATGGTAAAAGTTAAAAAGTAAAAGAAAACAAGGGATTATATTACATTGATGTATAAAAGAAAAATATAAACACTCAATTAGTATAGAGGAATTATTTATCTATGTTGATAGGACTCTCTAAAACTGTTAAAACACCCGCGCATCAAAATACACTACTATTGGAGGATGCGACACTCGCGTCTTATCATTCTTGAAGAGTCCGAACAACATAAAATTATTATATGGTAGGAATTAAGAAATGCAAATTACTCACACTCCAATAGTGTTTATTTGTAATGTCAAATCCTCCTCTGTATTTGTTGAAATTGTCCAAAGGGTCTGTTCTCACCGTATCATCTGATTGCTTCCTTGCTTCTGAATCATTGTCTATCTCAATTAATATTCTTCTTTCTGCCGAAATCAACAAGTATTTTCATCAATTAAAGGCATTACTAT